CCCTCCTCAAGTCATGTCCCCTGTAATGGTATCTTCAATTGACCTGAACGACAATACTCAGCCGACTCAAGCAGAGCACCAACCACAGTGCGAAATGGAGTCTTGCTCTGGAATCTTGATAACCCCCTATCTTTTGCAGAGCTAAAGCAAAGTACTGGAATGAATCATTCAAACAAGGATCCTATTGTTTTCCTATTTATTTCCTATTCGTAAAAACCCAAAAATCCTATTAAATTCCTATTGAACCCCTAACAGTAATTATTTGCAAGAATCGCAGTCTGCCCAGACTTAGGCCATCTCAAGGTTATAGTATTTCACATATCAAAGATGTATAGTATAATATATATTTGTTGTATGCCTTCTGTATATGTGTATAGTAATATCGTCTGCATATTTTGTATTAACTAGCTGATTAACTACATGTTGTTTGTTATTGGTTATTCCTCATACATTTGTATTACATGGTTTCGTTGGTACTTGCTGACAGGGCTTGAAATTCTTGGCAGTTTACAGAGCTGCTGATGACACAGATTCTAGAGGGATTATGGGAGCTGTCACAGAGTGCTGTAAGATGTTGTAAGTGTATTCTGAAGTTGTTGTTCCCGTATCCATAAACCCTAAACCCTATCTATGTTTGAAAACCAGCGGCACGGAGCAGAACCAACAGAGCCTTCACAGTTCGAAACTCTTAGCAGAACTTCTTGCACAGAGTGTTGATCCTGAACGAAGCCTGCACCATCATGAACTATACCTATAGTCTCCATTGTAGTTCCTTTTCTTGCGTTAACCAACTATATTTTTGGGATCCTATAAGGTATCCCCCAAAAGGAACTACAATGGAGACTATCGGTAGATCCAACATCGTGAGATTCTTCTTGTGAGAGCTCACTTTGGCTAGGCATCGGTTCTTGGATATGTTCCAAAAGTCCTCTTGAAGATTTTATTCACGCAGAACTCTAAGTCTAAGTAAACATGTTTTTGGATCTCCGGACATTCGGCGGACATAGGGCACCTTCGTTGCGTAGGCCACAACCCCGGCTTCTGAGGTACACCCAGTCCTTGCTGCGGCGTGTGGAGGACTGCTCACCAGAAAGCCCTTGCTTGACTCGTTCGCCTCGTGCTACTGCTATGGTCAAGAGTACTGTGTTGTTCCAGCGTGCCCCTGCGATGAAGACGACGATGAAGGTGATGCTCTTGCTAAGGAAGAAGAACATGATGATGATGGTAGTGACGCCGATGATCGTGGTAATCTTAATCATGTTCACTACGATGGTGGCCGGATCGTTGTCGTTGTCGTTGCGTTGCTGCTGCTGCTGTTGTTGTTATGTTGATTGTTGTTGTCCTTGTTGTTGTGTCGTTTATGTGTGTTCTTTGTTTTCGTAGTGGTGGTGGTGGTGCTGGTGGT